CCCCAAAACCCCAAAACCCCAATGTCTAAATATTTAAGATGAGTTGAAGGATAATTTTTATCAGTAATAATTAATTATATCAATTTGATTATTGTTTTTTCTATACAGTTAAGTTTTTTTAATATATAAGATTATCATTAAAGTCAATTAATAATTAAGCTTTGTAAATAAAATGCTTGAGACAAAATCAGAGTCCTCAGATGAGAAAAGTAAACTAGATGTGTTTTAGAGAGCTGAACTTAAGTAAGCATATCATAAAGTGATAAAGGATCCTTCTAATGTAAAGGACACATAAGGCAAGAAGAGGAAAAGGCATAATACCCTAGATCAAACCTCTAAAGACAATAGGAAGAGCAAGCAATTTTAATATAGAGAGCCTGAGTCCCCATCAATGGCTTAGAGGAAAAAGAAAGAGCATTTAATACATGAAAGAAAGATGCAGCTGGGTGGAAACAACTTTGAAGAGGAACAACAATTGATATTAAGAGATAAAAAGATCTATAATCATGTAGTTATCGATGACATCGTCAATTCAGAAGTTCGTAAATGTGAGATCGACCTTGAGGAGTGTCAGCCATTACTAGCATAGAACACTAAAACAATAAATCATCTAGAAGTCAATATTAGACATTTGGTCAAATAGAAAAAAGCAAGAGATGAGTACATTAGTAGAATAAATAAGATGGAAGAAGCAAGCAAGGCGATCATAGCATCTTTGAAGAGTGGAGAGTTGCTTGACCCGGATAACTAAAATGTACCATTTTAAGAATAGTCAGTCCTGCAACAACTAAAAACTCTAAGATAGAGATATAACATTAAAGAAGTTGAAAGAGATAATCAGCCACTAAAGACTGGTCAAAATGGAGTAATTTTTAGTGAAAGTCTTCTTAGCAATAAAGACTTATTTTTGACATATAAAAAGAGGAAGTTAATGGGGGACAACACTGTTGAAGCTCGAAAAAATAGAGAGCTTATTAATATTAAAAACAAGTTGTAATTGCAGTACTAAGAAAATAGAAACATCAAAAAGAAAAAATAAAGCAGCATAACAACTAACAATTGCTATACCTCTGCTGCGAATCATTACTCACAAAAATCTGAAATTGACTAGAATTACTTTGGCTAGATGCACTCTAGAACAAGCAGAGTCGGATCTCCTAGTAATTTTTCATAAGAATTTAATACTGGTTAAAATTCATAAAGAGACTTGGGAAATACTAGAATCGAATCTAAGAGAAATTCTAGACTTGTTAGCTTTATCAAATAAAACTAGGATGAAAAATCTAGAAATGATGTAGAGAGTCAAAGTTATTACTAGATTGAAGTTTAGCAAGGAAAGTAGAATAATCGAAGTAAAATTATGAGTTTTAGAGGTAGTGATCGCAATGTGCAGCCACCTAATTAATATTTTAATAGCTCTAGAGTCAGCTCTAAAGAAAATTTTGATATGCAAGGTCCCACTACTCATAAAACTCAAACAAAATTATAAAATACTAAGTCCTTAAAAAAGAATGATAGTCAACTATCAGACATAATAGTAGAAGAATCATACAGATAGAGTCATAAGAAACATACAAAGCTTTAGACTCAATCACCAAATCCTTAAGTCAAATTTGAGGAAAAAAAATCATAGCATCCAGTATCTCATCAGATGTCAAATAAGGATTTGATATTAAATGAATAGCAGAATTACACTGTTGATTCTAACATTAATTTCAACTATAATACCAAGAAAAATGATATCATGTAGCCTAGATCAAAATCTGTAGCTAGATAAAGATACGCAGATAATACAAACCAGCCAATTAGAAGAAAGCTTGTTAATAATTATCAGAATATTGAGGAAAAGAACAGTACAGTTCCAACACTAAACTTATTTAATTCTCAATCCCCAAGTAGAGTAAACCTTAGTCTTACAAGAACTTTCAAGTCTAATCATAAAAATGATATGAGTAATAACTCTTATCTGAATAGACCAACTAATGATACATTCTTTAGTCTGAGGAAGCAAACAGATTAAAGTGATTCTATTATGAACTAAATCTTAAGGAAAAGTTTAAAAAATAATCAGCGAGGGATGAATATAATGGTAAATAGCAGCATGCAGTTTCAACGCAAAAATCAAAGTCTAATCGACAACAATTAAAGCCAGAGTAATAAGTAACTAATGACTTCAAATATGAGGGCACAGAATATGTCAATAAACAATATATATCAGAATATGAAAACTGATGTCACAGATGAAAGTACAGGCGAATATTGTGGAAACTCAACAAGAAACATGGTGAAACAGTATTTAAGCAATTTAGCTACCAGGCCTCCAACCTTCAATGTGAATGTTTTGGATGCAAGAAATATCAAGCCAAATAGAGCTAATTCTGATCTTAAGCGAGGATAGAAGAATACATCTTCATCAGATTTGAAGATTGAATCATCAACGAAAATAAATAATGCTACTTTTATCAGTCATTTGGAAAATCGATCTATATCTACTAACCGAGTAAATTAAAAGTTCAATGAGAGAACCCCCTCTATGAGTGATAAAGAATATATAGAACATATAAAATCTCATCCATTTAGATGGCAACTGTAAAAGAATCTGTAAAAGATAGTCGACAGTAGACAGGAAAAAAGATAAGTAATTGAGAAAATTCTAGGCAACTGCAATTAGATATAAGAAGAAACTGAAGATTAGCTTTAAGAATGTGAGTACAAGTAATTAATGAATAACTTGAAGATTGGCAATTTCAAGAAGCTCTGTGACGCCATTAAAGAAATAGAGTTTGCTGATTCGACCACTTTAAAAGTTTTATACCAGTACAAGCAGCAAAGTAAATTTGAAAATGAGGATAATGCCCTGGAAGTTCAAAAAGAATATAAATCAGGGATTATGGATCCATCAAGAATTGCAGCATAATTTGAGAGACTAATGAATGTGAAGAAAATAGTAGGCAAGAAAAAGATTGTTCAGGAAAATGATAAAAATTATAAGTAACAGAGAGAGTTGAAGGGACTAATGTCTCTTTGTTGAAGCTCTATATTTTTATTTAAATTATGATATTTACCAAAATCTTAATTTCATTAATGGAATTCGCTTTGACATTGTAAATATCATGGTATCTAATTTATAAGGAGAATATATACTCAATTATCCTTTTTATTCTATACTTTTTGTCTATCAACAAATCTAGTTGGATTTTCCCCAACTATTTTTTCAATTTTAACATTATTAATCATTCTTGTTGATTCTATTTTCATATAAATCAAAACTGTTTCTATAATCACTGCAATAATAATTATAATAGCTATTCCAACAGCAATAACAACTCCACTGTAGTAAATATTTTCTTTATCATAAATCCTATGATATATTATCAACTAAAAGTTCATGTAATTTGTATTTCCTTATGAATCTGCTGCACTTATTTCAATCCAATAAGTTCCTGTTTGAGTTTTGGTTGAGTAAAAACTTCTGTTGCCTGGATTGAAATTGAGCCACTGAGGAAGATCAAATCCTTCTACTAGATAGGCATTGTAATCAAAGTAGTAAGGTTAATCATTTAGTTGAATATCTGCATCTTTGAAAGACGATAAGGGGATAGTGTATTCCCATTAACTCTCAGACCATGAAAATTAATCTGGTATTTAGACATTCTATACAGGGGCACTATCATCTAAGACTATCAGTTTGAAATAAACAACTCTAGATGAGAACTAGTCTCCAAAAGTCAGTTATATTCTGAGTGATTAAGTCTAATTTGTGTAGCCACTAAAATAATTACCCATATTACTGAATGTTAGCCAATCTGGTAGCTCTAGTCCTAAAGGAATTTATTGTGTTGGCTATTATCTAGCACTCATTGATAATATATCACCATCAGCATCAGAAAAGATATCGTCAGGTACCTTGAATACAAAATTAGTCTTTGAGTAAACTATCTAGTCTGGCATATCTTTTAATAATTTTGGGGGTGAATTCATGCTTTCTACTACTATAGATAAATCTCTAGTTAAGCATAATTGATACTCATCGCAAATATATAAAGTAAAGGGGAAAGTACCACTGCTCTGGCCATCGGCTTAAACTTAGCCATTATTAATGGTTATCCAAGATGGGCCAGATACCTTAAAGAGTAATGAATTTCCATTAGGGTCTTCAAAATATCCTTTGAAGTCAAAGACCAAAGTTGAGCCAGAACTAGTGTAAAGCTTATCGGGTAATCTTCCTAAATCTACTGGCTTGCAGTTAACCTCTAACTGCAATGTTTCATTTATTGATGAGTCTTTATTATCAGTTACAGTCACAATTAAATTTAGGATTTCAAAGTCATCACCTGATGCGATACCCTCTAATATATTTCTTTGACTGAGTCCTAGCCAATTAGGTAAGCTTTGTCCATTTGATCTTTAAATTGAATAAGTCAGAATATCCTTTTTGTCTTCATCAGAAAAAAATGTTGAGAGATCTAACTAGAAGTATTCAGAGCAGTTAACTAAAATTCTCTCATTTGTATATAGGTATCCTGATTAAAATGTTTTAATCATTTTGACAGGATTATTTACAATCAGAGTCATTACCTAAGAAACAGACAATTCACCATCACTAACTGTTACAGTAAATGTGTAAGTCTTAGTTACAAGTCCAGTTGGTGCTTGAGCAATTAAAATATTTAAATTTGAATCCCATAATATCCATTAAGCCCATGTGATAGGTAGAAGAGGTGTAACTGAGTAAGTCAGAGTTTGCCCATTTACAACATCATCATCAGTGAAATAATCAGACATCTTGATCTTTTTAATAGGGCCTCCGACTAATACATATTAACTCCCTATTTATTTCAAGATATAAGGGGCATTATTATAGATTTCAATGTAGAAAGTATCATTTGCAGTCGATTCATATGAATCAGCACAAGTCATTTTGATTTCATAAGTCCCCGATGGTTTTGGGTTTGTTACATAAAAAGTATCTACTGTCAGTCCAGAAATAGTATGAATATTGTAGTCTATCCAGGAAGGAATAGAGGAACCATCTGATTAGTAAAACAATTACCTGAAGCAAGTGGACCAAATATTTCCATTAGCATTTAAACCCCAATTAGTAGTAGTACCTTGAAGTATTCTCTTACTTGTCATCTTCCTCAGCTAATAAGGAGTATCTCTATCAGTTATTATGACTTTAACCAAGCTATCTTTGATAAGTTAAGTATTTTTCTTTTCAGATATTCTAAAAAAGTGAATACCCTTTGTGCTTGGATCATCATTGTACAAGTAGTTAGAACCATCAGTCACACTTATTACAGTATTAAGAGGCAAACTACCTTGATTATAATCTGTGTTGTGCTCATAGGTATAGTATACGACTCCAGCATAGTCAGTAGTCTGAGACTTAAAGCATGTTCTAGGAACTCTTACTCTGTTAATAGAATTTGTATAGAACTTGAATGTGAGTTCTCCATTCTAGTATTAATAGTCTGAAAATAAAGTTGTCGTTACTAATCCAGTTACTCCATCTAGATTACTAGTAACTGTATACTAAGACTCGAATTTGTGATAAAAGGTATTGACAATTCTTGTCGTAATAAATAGAGCATTAGACCATTTCATTGGAGAACTTCCAGTATTAGCATCTGTATTATATCCAGTTGGATATGCAACACTTTAACCGATATATTGCAGAATATATCTATCGAAATAGTTGCCATCTGTGTGAGTTTCCCACAAATCAAAGTCAAAGTTATTTTTAAAGATAATCATGCCATTTTCTCCAGATTAACACCAATTAGTTGTAGTACCAGCAAAATATACGATTCCATACTAGTCTAAATACATTCTAGAAATAGCATACTGATTGGAACCAGACTTCCCGAAAACTCTTGTAGTTCTTACCAGCATATTGTAGTCCATCTTTATATAGAAAAAATTTCTTTTGCCAATGTAGTTGCCAGTTGCATCATATAAGGTGTCTCCAAACGCTACAAATGAAGAACCCTCAAGTGGTGCTGAGGTCCTTATGGTAGATTAGACCCATTAGCAACCTCTTATCTGCATTTTGTAACTCCAAGCACTTCCAAATGCTTACCATCTATCTGGAGTCATATTACCCAGTACAGATCGCATGAAGAACACTGCGTTTGCTCTTTCTCCGCAAGTGCCAATATACTAATTTGTATAATCTACATCTGATTGCCTTATATAGGTGTAAACATCAGTATTAGCCCCTCCATTATAGTAATTTCCAAATTCAATGTGAGAAATGCTGCTGTCCTCTCCCCACTTTACTATCAATCCAAAAGTGTTGTAAGTAGTGTCCTTAGTGTTAATCATGCCGCTTCCAATTTAATTAAGCTATAGTCTAGAAGTACAAATGTGAAACATCGTCTCATCTGTTATATCTTTTACCAAAATTTTGATGTAATCAATCTCCAGATCTATATTGACTCTCATGATAAAGGTGTCTGTGTCATTTTTGCCATTAAAAGAAGCTGTGTTACCTAATACCCAAAACTTATTCATTAATCTAACAAACTTTACAGCTGTGAATTCATCATCTTTGCCTATTCCGCCCCAGTGAAAATGCTTTTTATTTTCAAGATTGCTATCTAATCTTACTAAAAATGCTTCTTTTGTACCTCCTGAGTCTCTTATTGAGCCTACTGCAATAAGCTATTCGTCTATGGTTTCTTAGGTGTCAAGATCATTGCAGTAATCTAAAGTATGATCATCAGTAGTCCCGATCATAAAATCATGCTGAAGCTCTCCGAATTGACTGTACTTTGCCACAAAGAATTCCTAATATTTATCAGTAGTGTCTTTTTTAATGTATCCACAAATATACACATTTCTTGAGATCTCATTTACAGTCACTGCTTTTGGCCTTGGATCTGCTCCTGCTGCTCCATAGCACACTGTCCACATATTATCTTTCTCAGTACAAGTTTAATAGGATTATCCGATTAAAATGAAGGCTATCAAAAGAAAAAGTTACTTTGCCTTCATTAGTTATAATTCTAATTATATATAATTCAACATTTGAAATTAATATTGCTTATGGGGTTTTGGGGTTTTGGGG